AAGACTATATTGGGTTAGAAATCATTTTCGGCTTCGTTCTTCCTTCAGCTTATCGTATCTCTTTGGTATAAACAAAGAAACCGGTCAATTATGAACGTATCTATTTGCGTCGACGTATAAAGATTAATGGTTTAAGTGCAGTATTGATGTTTTCTTTTTGTTTACAAAACAAAAGGTTTCAAGCATATTCCCGAAGTAGTTGAACTTTCATATGTTTTATATAGGGTTAAAAATTTTCGATTTGGGAAAATTTCCAGAATATTTCAAATAAAGATAACTTATTTTATAATAGTAAAACTTTATGTCTTATTTAGGCAGATGTATGGACAATTTTATGGTAAAATATTGTAAAATAGATTATACAAATAAAAAAAAACCTTTTGTAAAATACATTTTTTTGGTATTTTGTTGAATTTTTTAATTATAAATTTAAGTAATAACTACGATAATTTGTTTTCAAAATTTTTTAAAACTGTTTTTACATATTGACATTCATTGTCGTAGCTTTGTTTAAGACTTACCATAATTGGCACCCCCATCCCTAAAGGGGATGGGGCATTTTCAATATATATTAAGGTACTTCTCTACCATTAAATAAGTGAAAAAGTTAATTTTTTTCAATTTTTTGATTTTTGTTAAATATTGACCAAAATTTTAGAAGGAATCCAAAAATATTCATATCAAAGCTCTAACTCCTACACTTTTTAAGTATTTTAGAATAATATAGTTGTTTAAATTTGATAATTTGTATAGCAACGGTTGCTAAGTGGCAATTTTCTTGGGATACTGTGAATTGTTTTGTTGTAATTTGAACTAATTTGCTATTAATAAATATTTGATGGCTAATACTGACCAGTTAAGACAAGTTTTAAAATATTTTTAGTATGATGGAACACTACTAAAGTTTGTTTTTGCTTCGTGTTCGTTGAGGACGTTTAATTAACGCAGTGGATAGCCTACCGAAAGTCGGTAGCGGAAATCCTACCGAAAGTTTTTTTTTAATGGTTTAGAAATATCACGTGTCACAATAAAATAGCTAAATAAATATATTTTTAATTTTGTCAGCTTCAATGTTCAGTAGTGTATCGGATGTAATCTTGACGCCGCATCCAGGCGTTCCGGGTTCTAACCTTTTTCTAAGGAATCTTTTTTACATTTCGATTGTTTTTTTCCATGTTTTTTAGGTTTTATTACGTTTATTAATTGAATAAATTATTTAGGGATATATGCTGGGAATAGCACAATGCATTAATAGACGCAATGGAGTGTTTATACACTGACTGATTTAGGGATAGGCACCGAGGAATGTACATGCATTTACTAATTAAGGGATAGGTGCAGTGAAGTGTGCATACATTTACTAACTTAGGGATAGGCGCAGTGAAGTGCACATACGTTTACTAATATAGTTTATATACATACGTTTACTAATATGATGTATGTGCATATAAAAATATAGTATAATAAACGTATGTATACATATAATAAACGTATGTGCATATACTAATATAGTTTATATACATACGTTTACTAATATGAACGCACATACGTTTACTAATATAGGGATAGGCGCTGTGTAGTGTACATGCATTGACTGAGGGTTTTGGTATGGGGAGGCAGTTATTTCTATTTATTTAATGGAAAATCCTATTTAATTTTTTACATTTTTATTTTTTAAAAATAATATGTTAAATTTTCTTCATTTTACGGTATAACAAATATTGTTTATTTTGACATGTGATATTCTCAACCAATAAAAAAAACTTTCGGTAGGATAATTTTTATTTTTCCGCTACCGACTTTCGGTAGGCTATCCACGGCGTTTAATTAATTATATGTGCTTTATTATTTTTTATTAGCTTTGATTTTTATTTACTAAATCATAGTTATATAATGGCAAAAAGAAAAAATACATTCAAAAAAAGTAAATTATGTTTTTATGGTAATCAACATGCAAACTCGTTAACGAAAAACAACGGAAAAGATACAACAAATGATTCAGCTGTAGAATCAACAACAAACATTGACTTAGATTTTGTTGATAACCATAACATTATTATTGAACTAGACATTCTTAATTTAATTTTTAATAATATGATATGTCCAAACTACATGTCAACAAATGTTGTCTCTGCAAAAAACATTGTCAGACATAAAATGTGATGGGCTAACAAGCTTAATATAAGTTGTAGTATTTGTAGCTGGTTTTACAAAAATTTCACTTCTAGTTTGAATAATACTCCCGAACAAGCTGGTCAGAAAGCTTTTGATATTAATGTTAGATCTATAATTGCATTTTGTGAAATAGGAATTGGTCATTAAAGTGCTGAAAAATTTTCTATGATAATAAACTTAGTCGAGCCAGTTGAAATTAAGTCTTAGAATGATATTAATGATCGACTTCTAGAAAGTTACCTTAAAGCTGCTGATAAAAGTATGGTAATAGCCGGTTCTGTTTCTAGAAACACTGACAAATGCATTTCTGAATGCACAGTTTCATTAGATGGAACCTGGCAAAAAGAGGGCATGACTTATCGAATGGTATTGTTACTGCTATCTTACGAACCAATGATAAGTGCATCGATTATCAAATAATGTCAAAAAATACAAAGCTTGCCAAGTTTGGACTAATAGAAAGGAACTAATGAATATAATATGTGGAAGAGCTCCCATATATGCCACATAAATCATAATAAATCAGCTAGTTCCATGGAGTCGGATGGGGCAGTTGCAATATTTCATAGGTCAATTTTAAGGCATAAGTTAAAATATAAGAATTACATTGGAGATGGCAATACTAGTTCATACATGAAAGTTGTAGAATCAAAACCTTATGGTGATCATTTTTTAATTCATAAACTTGAATGTGTTGGTCACATTCAAAAACGTTTAGGCGCAAGGTTAGGTAATTTAAAAACAAAGTACAAAAATAAAATGTTGTCAGAAGGAAAAAAACTTCTTGGAAAAGGTTGTTTGACGAAAAATGCTATCAAATTACTACAGTCATACTATGGTATGGCAATCCGACTAATTAAGCATGTTTATGCAATGAAAAAAGCAGTTTGAGCTGTGTTATTACACTTTTCAGAAAATATAACTGAAGAAGAGCGTCATAATACTGTCCTAGTTCAAAAGATAGCTGGTGTAAATGGCAATATGATAAAATGACAGGTAAAAGCAAATATACTTCAAAAATCACACTACCAGCTGCTATAAGGGATGAACTTAAACCAATTTTTCAAGAACTAAGTGAGGATGCATTACTTAATAAATGCTTGCATAGTTTGACTAAAAATGTCAATGAGTGCCTTCACTAATTTGGTCAAAGAGAGTTTATTGCAGTAAAAAGATTTTACAAATCGGTGTATGTTCTGCAGTTAAAAACTTTAATGATGGCTATAATGGATTGAAAAAAGTATTTAATAATCTAAATATTCCTGCTGGATATTTTTTTGATAAAGTTTCTGCAAAAAAAGATAATCGTCGAAATATTTTAAAATGTAAACAAAATACAAAGGAATTTAAATGTAGACGAAAGCATTTAAGGCATGAAAGAAAAGGTTACATTGATGTCAACAAGGAACTAGAAGGTGGTGATTACTATAAAACTGGATCTTTTTAATATACTTACGATTTAAGTTAATTTTTTAAATGATTTTGTACTTAATTTGCGTTTTTTGAAAAATTGAAAATTTTGCTTTATGTGTTTACTATTTCCTAAAATTTTCAGGATGCTGTTGAGAAACCGAAATTTACCCAAAAGTTTTAAAATTAGTATGACTTCAATATAAACCTCAATCAAACAATTACATTTACTAGAAATTTTTTTGGGGGGGGATTTTTGGGGCAACAGAATACCAATGTTGTAATAAATGTCTTATAACTAAATGTAGAATTTATATCCAACCTTGGTTTTGGTTCACATTGCTCTTTGTCATTTTATTAATATACCCTGAAAGTTTCAGCCTAAATACTCAATTAGTTTCGAAGTATTTTAGGAAACAGATTCAGTACTTTTTTGCCCTTTTTTCATAAATTCGGCGCATGCGCAATCAGTTCGATAATTTTTTTGACTATTATAATTAGTGTTTATTTACATAATAACTTCCTTATTTGTTAAAATCAGTCATATAAATTTTTAATTTTAATGGTAGAGAAGTACCTTAAATTGGCCTACAAGTTACTGAAAACTGTAAATTTATATATAAAAAGATTTGATTGAATATTTACAGTATTTTACAATTTTTTCTTGATTTAAAGATGTTATTAATTATTGAAAAATCAAAAGTAAATTATTATTTTTTTTTGTGCTAAATTTGAACTAATCAAAAATATAGTTAGCAATAAAAATAAAAAACTAATGATTTCAAGGTCATAATTTCCGCCGTGATTTTTAAATAAGTGCTTTTAAGTCTCACTCGCCTCAACCTTGCAAGGGCACTTTTGACTTTACAAATCAATAAACCAAAAAAATGAGAAGGGTAGGGTCAATTCCTTAAACGAACCGATTAGTTTCTTAAAAACAATTAAAAAAAGGTTCTTAAAAACTAAAATTCACCCGACTGAATTGTAAAAAATACCCAAGCGGCCAACTAAATTCGTCTAAAAACCAATTGTAATTTAAAAATCACCTCCTTTGTGGGGGTAGAACACCGCCACCCCCCACACATTCTTCCTCTAAAATCGTTTTTGTATGCAATCTTTACACACAAAAAATCTTTGTTTCTTCAAAACACTCTACAAAAATAATACAGAATAAACCTTTGTTATCTAAAAAAAGATTTTATTCTTTGTATTTTGTGAATATTTTACATTGTAGTTGAGAGAAATTTTTTAAAAATATGTAATAGCAAGTTTATTGGAATAAAAATGTTTTAATAATTTTAGGGAATTTGAAGCGAGAACTGCGGGAAATTTTTCCGGAATTTACCCGGAAATTGTCTAGTATTATTATAATAAGGAAATTCCACAAGAAATTTTTCTTTTATTAATTTTTTTATATTTAAAAACATTATTTACATTTGAATAAAAAACTCTTTGGGTTAACATAGTAGTTTCTTGCGTTTTATTATTTAATTTGAAAGTTAAAAAGGAGGTAAATTTATATGGATTTTGTTTACTTATAACATATAACAGTGATATGATTTATATTAGAATCATCTACAAATTTTAATGATTTCTTAGTTTGAAACATGCGGGTTTTAAAAAAGATATAAAAAAAAATTTATATAATTTTATTAGTTGCTTTTATAAAATACAAAAATACTAGCTAGTTTATTAATGGTTAAATCTGCAGTTGAGCGGTACAACATAAAACAAACTGGTTATAACAGTGTATATATATATATATATATATATATATATATATATATATATATATATATATATATATATATATATATATATATATATATATATATATATATATATATATATATATATATATATATATATATATATATATATATAAAATTAAAAACCTTTTTTATTAAGGTTTTTATGTTTACGAAGTTATTAATTTTTTACATGATTATAGCAAAAATTGAAATATTGTTTAACCAGCAAAAACAATGAAGAGCACTTTTGTACTTAGTTGAAAACTAGTTTAAAATGTACTAAAATATCAATATTTAAGTTCTTTCACAAACAATAGATAGTTTTAAGTCTACTTTTAAACAATACAAAAAATTCTTAATTCTCATTTAGTCTCCGATAACGAGAAAGCATTAACTAAAACAATATATTTACAGGGGTGGGACCGCAAAATGTGAACGTTTTTGTTTTATTATAACTATTTTCTCGTTAGATGCAGTTGTACTCTCTCACTCATCAGAAAGTGTCTAAAGAGTTGTTAAATATGAACTATTTTAAATAAGAATGTCCAACCATTGGACATTCTTATTTAAAATAGTTCATATTTAACAGAAAATTAATTATTACAATCAGAAAAGTGTTCACATTTTGCGGTCCCACCCCTGTATTTTACGCTGTTTATCTGCAAATTTACCACTAAATGTTTTTTAATATTAAGTTTGCGTGATTTTAATTTTCAAAAGTATTCATACAGTATGATTACTTAATACACATACAGTATGATTAGCAATCTATAAATTTAAATAAATAATAAAGAACAATACCATTATTAAAATTTAATTTAAATTAATAAGAAAAAATTCATTTTTTGAAAAATTTTTATTGAAAAAAGAATTTTGCAGAAAACTTTATAAGGTTTTTTAAAAAATTGTTACAACAAGAGTTTCCAAGGGCGGATTTAGCATTTTTTGGCCTTTTAGATAGCTAACTTCTAGACATGGATCAAATTTGATACTTTTCTATATTTATACTTATGTCAAATAAAGATGCTTTGCAAAAAGTTGCGATGATTAGATCCTTGGAACAAAAAACCTATAAAATTATCGCCCCCTACCTCAAACATGAGAGCAACAAGTTGATAAAATATATTTTGTACAAAAAATATTTTATCAACTGTTGCTCTCAAGTCTGGGGAAAGAAAAAGAGGGGGGCGGCAAACATTTTAAGGCTTTGTTGTTCCTAGGTTCGAATCATCACAATATTTTGAAAATCGTTCTTATTTTATATTAGCTGTTTCTAACGCCAAATGCAGCTCCGCCATCCCTGTATATTATATATATATATATATATATATATATATATATATATATATATATATATATATATATATATATATATATATATATATATATATATATATATATATATATATATATATATATATATATATATATATATATATATATATATATATGTATATATATATATATATATATATAAATTTAATGATATGATGTAGGTACTTAAATAAAGGAAAATTTTATAAAAATTTCAAAAATAATAATTTTTTCATATAAAAATTATTATTTTCGATTTTATTGCATAATAACTATAGTTTTTTAACTAAACTGAAAAAGGTGCATTTATACATGTTTTTAATAACAATTTTTTTCGACAGTATGATTTTTATAAAACAATTATTATTATCGAACTTTTTATAAAATTTCGCTTTTTTTGAATACCAGGTTGACCTACTTTTGAAAAACTTTTTTTTCTCCAAAATATTAGTGTACCGGTAATTTTCCCAATAAAGTTGCGCCCTTTAAATCTATCACAATCATTCTCATATTTGATAGAATCAATATTAATAATTATTAGCAATGTTTAGAGCCTGTAATAAAAAATTTTTTTTTGACCCACCCTAATATATCTTGAGCAACGTAATAGCCCTCACCCAAATATATTTTGAGCAAATAAAAAAAACACGATATTTTTTCATCTTAACATGCTTAATATACTATATTTTCAAAAGATAAAAATACAATTTAAAACTCTGGGTATATATATTTATATATATATATATATATATATATATATATATATATATATATATATATATATATATATATATATATATATATATATATATATATATCAATATAAATTTAAAATTTGAAGACATTACAGAGAAATATTAACAGACAAATAGAATTGTTATGAACCAATATACCGTAATAGCATAAAAAAAAACAACAAAAAAACAAACATAACAAAAAAAAAAAAAATAAAGAGAAAAACTAAATTGACAAATTTATATTATAATGAACAGTTTGTTTATTTAAAGATAGGTTTTCCCATTTAATATGGAGTGCTTCTTTAATTTTCAATTTGCTTTTGTTAGGAGCAGTATCCAAAATTTAAAACAATTACAGTTACTTAGATTTTTACAATCAACAGATGAAATTAAATGCTTATAAACATTAGATTGGTTGTCACTTGTAAGATGCTCATAAATCCTTGTTGTTAAGTGTGTTCTCCTGGGTTCCATGGGTTCTTCTTTAGGGTTCTTCATGGGTTCTCCTCCATGATAAATATAATTGATAACTCTAATATAAGATTTTATAAATTTCCATTTATAGGATTTTACTCAAATTTTACTAAATCTAAAGTTATTAAAATCATTAAAATGTATTGAAAAGATGTTATGATTAACTTAATTTTCACTTCTAAATTAATTTTATACTAGTTCACCGCCAACTTAGCGCTTGAGTAGTAGTACTGCGCAAAAATATCGGTCAATAACGGATGCTACTTTGGATTAATCTTTATGACTGTTCCTATCCTACAAGGCCGACAACGCACAGTGACTCAGGACAATCAAAAAACGGCAAAAATTAAATAAAAATTTACGTAAATCGTAAATAAATAATGTTATATATTAAAATAATAATTTTTAAGTCAAAGATTTCAAATTTGTTAATTTTTTTTTTTTACGCGCAGCTTCGACGCGTAAAATGCGCGCTTACGCGTGTTAAAGGTGACTATACGCGTACAAATATTTTTTTTTTAGTTTTTAGAATCTTCAAGACAAACACTTAATTTTGATATATTACTCTACTTGATATTTTTATAAAAATGGTTTTTAAAGGATGTTGAGACATAGAGAAAAAATACTGTAAGTTTTTACATTAAATTTATTATTTACATTACAATTAATTTAAAAACGTCATCTGGTAACGGTTTTCCTCGATAGCTCTTATGTTTTCTAAAAGGTATACTTGATATTTTTGGATCTGATTTTCTAGGAGATAGTGCATCTGATTCATCATTGTGTTTAACCTTGATATTTTTGCCGTGTGCTTAATTCTAGAATTTCTTATCTGTTTATTAAACTCTCTAGTGCATCTTCCGAATATATCCCGAATGGCAAAGGTAATTTATTTGATATAGAAGAACTATGCAGCAGCAGTTTATGTACAGTAGGAGGCATAACATACCAGTTGTATAAACTCACTATACGTTTAGCTGTTTCAGTGCAGTATAAATCTAATTCATTGATATTAATAGGATATCGACAAGATATGGTTATGAGAATATTATGCAATCTTTTAATTATATCAAAATCAGCTTTAGTAATTTCAGAAAAAACTTCATTATTTTTAAATGCTCTTCTGGCAGTGTTGCCGTCATTAGTGTTTCCAGACCCAGTTTTAGGCATATCAACGTATAGGCTTAACCGTTCTCTGAAGAGTACTTGAATCTCTTTTTTTTATAAGTCTACTGATAGTTTTTCCTCAATTGTTTTTGGCTTATACTTTTTAATTTCAATTTTATAACTCAAATGAAGAATGAACTCCAAGCATTTTATCCAGCAATGCAAAGCTGAAATTCGGAGCCCCAAGGCCGAGTCATTCTCAGTTTTTGCTTTTAATAAATCAATACTGTTCATTTCCTTGGGTTTAGCATTGCACACATTGCAGGATTGAGAGGATTTTGTCTCTGTAAGTGCGCTAACTACTTTATTATCAAACATTGTAAGATCAATCCTATAGCTGATATTAAATGTCAAAATTCTTCCTGCAATATTAAAAACTTTGCAAAACGTCTTTTTAGGTATTTATTTGATTTTTTAGATCTGATTCTTCTTTTCTGGATAAAATTGGACTCTCTTTTTTATATTGTAGATGAAGAGGTCTACAAAAGTGACAGTTTGAAGAATTTTCATTTTTCCAAATTTCGCCATCTTCTACTTTGAGCAATAAAGGCACAAAAGCTGTACTGAAAAGATTTTCTTCATGCTTAAGTTCTATACTTGTGTTACTTGGATCGTATTTCTGTTTATAAATAATTTGGCTTGATGCTCCATCAAAACCAATCTTTCCATATAAAACTCCAAATATTTTATCACTTTGACCAAAATTCGGCATATTAATCATTTCTGTTATTCTACTCACAGTGTGATCTAACATCCTTTGAAGAGTACACTTTGCAGAAATTTCAGAAAATGTATATTCTCAGGATAGCATTTCAATTTTTCCACGAAAATATCGTGCAAGGTAGGATAAATATGTACGTTGTGTACAAGAGCTGAGTTTCTGATCATTTGATATTGTTTATCGCTGAGATCAGTATTTATTTTTAATGCAAGAGCATCCTCTACACTCATGTTAATGGGAAAGGTTTTATCCAAAGTTTTATCAACTTTTTCTCTAAAACATTAGATATATTGTTTTTTGAAACAGAGGCTTTTTTTCATTCTCCAGCAGCATTTGCCCTTTTTGCAGAAGCTAAAAATAGAGCTTCATGATGTTCAGTGGCTAGTTCTTTTATTTTTTATTTTGCTTCTCTCACCAAAAACACTCCATTGTTTATGGGGCCTTCCAGAACCAAAATGGCTATTTTTATTGTTCATAAGATTTCTTTGAAGCCAACGATTTTCTTTTTGTATAAATGTATCATAGTTTCGTCCACATTGTTTTAGTTTTTTTCTTCACCTTTGAAATAAATATAAATAAAGCAAGCTTAACTTTATTTAAGTTTTCTTTGGGAATTTTTTCAGTATTTTTTATTAAATAAATCCTTCCATAATTTTTATTTATCAACTCCTAATTCACGTATATTTGGGTAACATATTACTTAGTTAACTTTATATTACATGTAATATAAAGTTAACTAAGTAATATGTGTTATTACAGGATGTAACAATATGGTATTACAGGATGTAACAATATGGTTCTTGAAACGGGAAATACCAAAGTTGTTCAATTAGGCTTTTTCAAACATGTTGTACTTATCGAATAATAAATCGTTTTTTTAAATTGTCAATAGATATTTTAACAAACTTTTAAATAGTATATAATGACAAAAGCACGTTTTTTAAAATTAAAAAAAGCACGTTTTTTAAAATTATATTTAATATTTATGATTTAAAAACTATATTAGAACAAGTTCTACAAGCAAGAAACTTTACTTTAAGTTTCCCGCCAATTTCATTTGTTTTGATTTAATAAAGTTCTTAGCAAAATGGCGGACAAGGTTTTTATAAAATCATCAACATTTGTTTTTCTTTAATAACTTCCAATACTTCAGAGAACGCAGTAATCCTTCTACATTCCTAAAGTAGAAACTATATTAGAACAAGTTCTTTTCAAAACTCAAGAAATACGTCAAAAAGTATAACAAAATTTGATAAAAAATATTAACTGTTCACTTCTTAATAACAAAATCAATACGTTTTGATTGTTTTTTTATTTCTCTATCCTGTTGAAGTTTTAATCTCTTTTCTTTTATCTCAAGTTGCTTCAACTTTTTTATTTTTGCAGCCTCAACCTTATTGATATAAAAATTTAGAGATAAGAATACGACCCCATGTGGTTTATATTTTTAATTAAAAGTTTATTTTGAAAGAATTTGAATAATAACTAAATATTAAAAAGATGATAATATTAGTTAAACAAACATTATCATCTTTTTAATATCTCTATATTTTTTGTACTTTTAACTATAGGTTAAAGTGGTTTTAGTTGCTTTCAGCGCCATTTTTTAATATAATTCATAATCAGTATAAAATTACTTAATCTTTTAGAGGTTACCAGCAGGGCAGCAAAAAAAAATTTAATACAGAGTTTTTACTATAAACCATAGAAATAAAGTTGGCGATTTTTTACTGACCTCAAACACTTCTAGGTCAGCATTGCTGAATGCCAACTCAAATTCCAAGGGCTGATTTATGCTTGATACCATACTATTTCAAATTTAAAATAATTTTTAGTATGCAACCTTGCATTTATAAAAATTCAGCTATCAATTTTTGATATGCAAAGTTGCATTATGTAAGTATAACCTTTTTTACATGATTTCTTTCTAAACTGATTTTTAAGCAATATTCCTTTTTGAATTTAATTTTTTTAGATGAATTCATAAGTGTAATAAGTAAAACCAAAATAAAAACTTTCATATAAAATTTTATTTCAAAATGGTTCAACAAATATAAAAATACTCATATATTTTATTTCACAACTAAGTATGCTAACATTAAAGGGGTTCCCAAGTGTCGAGATAAGTTGTGGTCATTTCTTAAATAAACCTCAGAAAATAGACAATCTAAACTTTATCTTCTTTATTTGTAATAAGCTATGAAATAGCTATGAAAGCGGGATTAATTGGAGTCTTACAATGGGTTAACCTGGAGTGACAGGTTGAGTGAAAAATTTAATTTCGCTTACATCAAAAACTTTTGATGTAAGCGAAATTAAATTTTTTCTTGTTTTTTTCTCAGTATTTTCATAGTTTTTTATAGTAATTTAAATATCTTTAAAAATTTTTTTTAATGATATTAAATCAATTAGATTGATAAGACAGATCAAGATGGTTCATTTTAAATGTTTATAAAAATTTTATTCTTTAAGGAATACATCTTATTTTTATGAACTTGAACTTATTTCAAATTAAAGAAGTAATTAAACATCATGGATATATCAAGAAGCATTGGTTTAAACCATTTCGTGAAAGCTAATCCTGTTGAAAATATTAATGCTAAATATTTATGTAAAATTTGCACTAAATTGCTATATAATCCTATTCAAACGGGGTGTGGTGAAAGATTTTGTGAAAGTTGTGTAAAGTTTACCTCAAGGTATGTACTATATATACTATATATACTTACATAATTTGTTACTATATATAAGTTATATTTGTAGTAAATTCCTTGTTATTTTAATTTTAAAAAATCATTGTAAGCAGTAAATTATTTACAATTATATTATATACAATTGATAACCAAATATCTTTAAAAATGTATAACTTTTTACTCATTAAAAATTGAATATATAGCTTATAGTTTAAGATAATGGTGCAATTATTATTTTACCAGATTTTTATAATAATTACATTATAGCTATTTGCATTTTTGACATTGACTTATTCTTATAACATTATTAAATACTGAAGCAAATTTTCAAATTAGAATTTGGTTTGAATGTAGTTATTTTTAATATTTAACAGAATTTATTTTGTTAAAATAAACTAGGAATAATGTCTAAGTATTTAAGTATATTTTAAGACTTAAAACTTATTGAAGATGAGCTCATCTGCTGGTTAAAAAGAGATAAAAAGGGTGAAACAAACGCATTTTGTAAAGTTGGTTCAAAGTCCTTTTGCATCACAAAACAGGGGAATAGGAATATAAAGCGGCTTGCTAAGGAAAAGAAGTACGCGGAAAGATCTATGTTGATAGCAGTAAGATTCTTTTAAAATGTAACTGATCTGAAGTAAATCATGATCAACAATCTGAAGAGATCAGACATTAAATGCAGAAGTATTTTGGTCACTCAAAGTTTTAAAATGTAAATATTCATGCAGTTTTTCAAAATAAAATAATCTGTTCTGTTCCATGTTTCCAGACATTAAAATTCCCCAAAGTTTCACTCATGGAAAAGCAGTTACCTTTTATGTCACTATGTTGCTCTTTTTGTAAAATAAACAATGCTAAAGGAAATAAACAAACTCCATATTATTTGATAAATCTGATATCACTTTTTCATAAAAAAATCCAATGGATCTACATGTTTGCTTTTGGGACTATATGGAAAATGACAATCAAGTAAAAACATCTTATTAGAGTTCTGAGTTCTTTTCTAAATATAATAATTGTTTAAGCTCTTTAGCTAACAAAAATATTATCTATTAAAGTTAATATTGGAGTTTGTAGTCTCTTTCCAATGTAGAGAAAAGGCTACTGACTGAAACATTCAAAAATTATTTTTTTCTATTTATAAAATATTTGATTAGTCTCCTTCCTGCAGTGCTAACTATAAACATCTAACAGCTGCTACTTTTTAGAATACCTTCTAAAATTCTACCATTCCAATGGAACTTTGATTTTTTGAGTAATTTGCAGTATTATTAAGTGATTACTTCATCACTTTCTAAATTGGCAATCTATTAGTGTTCTTTCTTACAAAATCACTAGACTACATACTTGGTAATTTATGTGTAGAGAAAGGATGAATTAGAAAAAAAAAGCAGAAACCCAGAAGAATAATAGAGGAATAAATTCTTGTTTGTCTCATAAAGTTGGATGAAACTGGCTGAGTTGTCAACAGCTTTATAAGACTAAATGTCTGAAAAATAGTTTTTAAAAAAAAAAAATAAGTTTTTTCAAACCAACAAGGTTTGAAAAACTGCAATAAATGCCAAATAAGAATATTCAAAACTTTTGTTAAATTTTGTCAAGTTAACACAAAACTGTTCAAAGAAATTGACGAATCCAAAAATAGATTGGACTCATTTTTTTGGAAGCACATTGTCATAGTCCTCCTTTCTCGTACCAGGAATTTTGGATCTGCAAAACTTTTTAACGTCAGGAAGATTATTACCTTGTAAAAAATTGCTAAAGTTCTTTATTTTTATTCAAATTTTATATTTTTGCAAAGAAAATTCTCTAAAATCTTGTTTAGGGCACAAAAATTGATGAACGTGCGAACGGCTGCACAAAAAAAGACAGAAAAACGAACGTCACGTTCATTTACTTTTCCATACACAAACGTTGGCATTCGCCTAAAATTTTTTCAAAACAAATGTGTTACAAAGTAATTTTTTTTTTCAAATAGTTAACCATTACCATTGATTTTTTATTAATTTTAAGAAACACAAAAAAAACAATTAAATATAAAAATTTTAATCGCATTTTCAAAGACTTTAAAAGAAACCAAGCTAAAGCTACTTTCTTCATCAGAAAAAAGAAAGTAGTTATGTTTGAGCATGGTTTTTGCATGCGTTTAAAAAAGCATTCAAAATTTTAGTTAAAATGAGTGCATTTGCTGTTACTTTAAAAAAAATCATGCTTAAACTTAAAAATTGCTTTTTTTAATAGCATGCTTTGCTTTTTGCTTTTTTCTTATTTTCCTTAATACGAAGTAATGTTTGCATATTAAAGAAACTTTTAAAAATATATATCAAGTTTTGCTAAAACATACATAAACTAAAAGAATATATAAAGTTATTATGTTTATTATAACTTTAATTTTTGTATTGTGCGTTACCAAAACCAATAATATTATATTTTTACTAACTTATTATTAAATACTTAATATACTATTATATTTAAAGATTTTAAAAAAATGTCAAAACAATTAAGCATCTTTTCGGTGTTAAAGAAAGATGGTACAGAGAAGCGTAGTATTAAATGTAAAGAAAAAGAAGAGAGAGAAACTCAGCATGCAAAAAAAAAGTGCTATGACTTGGATTGTGCTATGACTTTGGAAAAATTGGACATATAGCCAAAAGATATTGAATTTATGTTTTGGAATACTGTAAATGGATTGCCGCCAAGCAATTAAAAACACGGGCAACAACTAAGCTGGATTCATATTGACAAATCAACCTGGTGGGAAATCGGCTAGCGAATAGCTAGCGATATTCGTTACGATTAAGACAACGATTTGGCCACGAGGATCGTTAGCTTTATAAGCTAGCGATCAACTAGCTAAACAAGCTAGCGAATAGGTAGCGATATTCGTTACGATTAAGACAGCGATTTGGCCACGAGGATCGTTAGCTTTATAAGCTAGCGATCCGCAAGCTAAACAAGCTAGCGAATAGCTAGCGATATTCGTTACGATTAAGACAGCGATTTGGCCACGAGGATCGTTAGCTTTATAAGCTAGCGATCCGCTAACTAAACAAGCTAGCGAATAGCTAGCGATATTTGTTACGATTAAGACAGCGATTTGGCCACGAGGATCGTTAGCTTTATAAGCTAGCGATCCGCTAGCTAAACAAGCTAGCGAATAGCTCGAGATATTTGTTACGATAAAGACAGCGATATGGCCACGAGGATCTCTAGCTAAATAAGCTAGCGAATAGCTAGCACTAAGTCGTTACGATAAAGACAGCGATTTGGCCACGAGGATCGCTAGCTTTATAAGCTAGCGATCCGTTAGCTAAACAAGTTAGCGACAAGTCGTTACGATAAAGACAGCGGTATGGCCACGAGGATTGCTAGCGAATAGCTAGCATTAAGTCGTTACGACAATGACATCGATTTGGCTAGAAAATCTCGGCTAGGTTAGAAGATATGCTCAAAGAATCGCGTGCTATATTTTTCAGGGGAGTGAATTATAACCATTAAAATAAGATTGCATTTATAACAAATTAAATACAAAATGTTAATACTTGTTTCCATAAAAAGTTATAAATATTAAAGCCATTATAAAATGTTAAAAGAAAAGTTATAGATTACTTTTGAAAAATAAAATGTCATTAACAACTAAATGATTTTGCCTAAATTAAATTAATAATTTCAAAAGATATTTAAAAAGATAATAGAATAAAATTTCTGTCAAATTTTTTTAAATCCTTATCAATTTTCGAAAATAATTGCTAAAAAAAGTTGTAACAAATAAAATATCTAAAAAAAAAAAAGTCAATAAAAAATAATAGAACAAATAAACAAAAAAAATAAGTTAACTGGAATCACTACATGAGTCAGTGTTTAAATTTCTTTTTTTGCTAACAGGACTGTGTATTTGTATATCACTTGTTAAAGAAGAACTTCTCTTTCTTGCAGCAAAATAACGATCTTTAGACTTTTTCAAGTGTTTCGCAATTATTGTAGTCATACTGGATTCAGTGGCAGTTGGAAATAAACAGTAAGCTGCATCAAAAATCAAACTTTCGACTGGTCCTATAAACTTACGCTTTTTATCTGCACCAGTTCGATTAATGCTGCAGCACAGCTTGTCTGTTAAACAAGTTTTTAAAGCATTTTTTAAAAAGTCACTTACATTTCTCCCACCAATTTGCTTTAACTTTCTGCAAATGATATCTTTATCATTAGAGTTAATTATTTTATTTTCTTGTGAGTCAAACTCTTCAACTGAATTAGCTGGTAAATAATCTATATTAATATTTTCTTTATTACCATGATTAGTGTCTAAAATTGAACGCATAGAACGCATTTCTGTTTCCAACCCACAAAGTTTTCTGTACATGGAGTTCACTATAAATTAAATGCCTTCAACAGTATTGGGTTCAACATTTGCTTTCCGAATAAAGTTATTTATTTGGTCTATCCCAGTTTTTTGAGATAGTAAAGAAAAGGAAGAAGATGAATGCAGTAACGGTTGAACTTGTGAAACAGACTGCATTTCTGATGGAAACACTATTTGTGTAACTGGCAAGTCATCTACTTGATCCATTGAGGCAGAAACGGACAAAAAGTTCTGAACAAGATTAACAATGATTATAAATACATTCACAATATTCTAATTATATTTTACTTTTTTTTTTTTTATTATTTAAAAATGTTAACTAAAAAAAGCAAATAAACCATAAAAATGAAACAAAAAAAATTATTATTTTTACGAATGGGATAAAATTTTAAAATGCATACTGAATCGGAATCAGGAAGCTTTGGTGGCTCCCACAATGGTAATGATGGTAAAGGAGGTTCTTCAAAAATACATTTTTTTTCTCTTTCTGTTTTGCTGACTTAAAGGAGTTTTCTTGTGTTTTTTTTTGATGTATTAAAATCAACTTCTGATTCTGCAGTAAGAATATGCTAAAAAAAATAACTTTTTCAATATACATACAATCATAGCTTTATACAATATACATATCATAGATCGTCCATGCAATATTTTAAAAATCCGGAAATTTGTTTGGGTAAAATACCCAGAAAATACTTTCTCTTATTTTCCTTTTATTTTTGCTTTTAGCTGAATTTTTTCTTTTTTTTTTTCAAACTTTTCTTTATTTTTTTATGAGTGATGAGTGAAAAAGCTTATAAAACAAATAGATGTATTTAAACTTTTAAGTAAAGACAATTTTATTTCCATACGTTCGGAACAGTGCGCATAAACTACAACTGTTTAAAAAACTATCGACATTTTGTGCTAAAATATAGATAGCTTAAAAGCCGCAATATGTAGCTAAAGACTTTTCGTTATCTTCTAGCTAGCTAAATCACAACTATATGCAGCTATCGATATTTCGCATTTAAATCGATAGCTAAAAAGCTGCGATATGTAGCTGTCGACATATCGTAATAAAATCCTTACTTTTAAAGTTCAATTATTATTAGCATTGTTTATGGCGACCTTGTAGCTAGCTACAAAGTTACAATATGTAACTAGCGATAAATCGTAATAAAATCGTTGTCAATAAAACTGCATTATGTAGCTAGCAAGTAGCTATCGATTTGTGGCTAACTTGTAGCTAGCTACAAAGCTACAATATGAAACTAGTGATAAATCGTAATAAAATCGCTATCTGAAAACTGCGATATGTGGCTATCAACTAGCTATCGATTTGTGGCTATCTTGTAACTAGCTACAAAGCTACGATACGTAACTTGCGATAAATCGTAATTAAATCGATAGCTAAGAAGCTGTGATATGTAGCTATCGAATAGCTATAGATACATCGCTGTCTAGTTGCCTGCTAAACAAATGCGATATGTAGCTAGCGTCATATCGTAATAAAATCGCTGTCTATAAAACTGCGTTATGTAGCTATCAACTAGCTATAGATTTTTGGCTAACTTGTAGCTAGCTACAAAGCTGCGATATATAACTAGCGATAAATCGTAATTAAATCGCTGTCTAAAAAAATGCAATGTGTAGCTATCGATTTGTGGCTATCTTGTAACTAGCTAAAAAACTACGATACGTAACTAGCGATTAATCGTAATTAAATCGATAGCTAAGAAGCTGCGATATGTAGTTATTGAATAGCTATAGATATATCGCTATCTAGTTGCCAGCTAAACAAATGCGATATGTAGCTAGTGTCATATCGTAATAAAATCGCTGACTAAAAAAACTGCGATATATAGCTAGCTATATATCGTTACAATATCGCAATGTTTAAAGTTCAATTATTTTCATAATTATAATAGATCCAACACTGAAAATCGAATTTTCAATGATGTTAAAGACTTAAGGAAAAAATTAAATAAGAAAAAAAAAATCGCTCAAAAATCGCTATAAAGCTAGCTAGTCGCTAGCTCGCTTCCCACCGGGAAATGAGTGTTTCTCTTGCTGGGTTTACCAAAAGTATCCAAATATTAGCAATGCTACCAATTCAGTAACAATGGAATGTAAATTTTGGAAAATAACATATTTGTTACGCCACAATAAAGATGATGGGCATAAAGCCTGTATTTCTAAATATCAAGAGAACTTGAGAAAACATCGATTTTAAGAACTACTGAAAATAACCAAGAAGAATTGAACAGACTTTTTTGGATATTGTATTTTATTGTTAAAGATGATTTTGCATTTAAAAAATTTTCTCAGCTGTGCCAGCTACAAAAGCTAAATGGAATTAAGTTGGGCAAGAACTACTTCAGTGACGAATCTTGCAAAAACTTTGTTTCGTTAATTTCTTCTGACCTATAACTCAAATTAAGTTTAAACGTATCAAATGCTCGTTTTATTGCAATTTTATTTGACGGTTCTACTGATAAGAGTATTAGTGAGCAAGAAACATTTTTTTTTAAAGTTTGTTAAAAATGGTAATCCAATAATTATATTTGCTGGTATTAACTCACCACTGACAGTTGATGCCGATGGTATATTAAATCCGATAGAATTTGTTTTGAAACAACAGACAAATTTAGCAACAAACAAAATGAATCAAGATTTATATTTAAACAATAACTATGCAAAAACTGTAAATGTTAACTTTGATGGTGCATCTGTAATGTCTGGCAATAAAGCTGGTGTTCAAACTAAAATGCAAAATAAAAACCCTAGTATAATATATACCCACTGTGTGGCGCATAAATAAGAACTTTTTGTGTTAGACTCAATAAAGTTTGATATTTATTTTAAAAAGTTTGATGACAATATCAATAGTTAATTTTGTTTTTACTATTATTCATTGCAGCGAAGAAAGGAACTGAAGGAAATAACTTCTTTTTTAGATGAAGAATTTAAACAGCTTGGGAAATTGAAAAATATTCGTTGGTTAGCTAACCGGGAACGGGCATTAAGATTGCTTAAAACTGACAAAATTATTATTTATGATTTAGAAAGCAAGGCAAACGAAAAAGGCGAAACTGCACAGAAAGCTAAAGGATTTTTGTGTTTCATGAAAGACCCAAAATTTTTATTTTATTTACATTTTACTCAAGATATTGTAAATCACTAACAACATTGTCATTGGAGTTTCGGAAGACGAAATTTTAATTTGTGAGATTTTGTGTAAAGTTGATGCAAGAATTGCTGTACTAGACACTTTAACAGTTATTCCGCGCTCGAATATTGGATATTTACTAGATAATTTATAAGTAAAAAAAGATCAGTTAATCTACAAAGGTATTGATTTAACAGCATTAAAAAAGCGTAATTTAAAGAGAATGGATGAGTTAGTTATATAACAACCAAATTATTATTTTGATTATTTTGATTATTATAATAAAAAACATTTTATTAAAATTATTGACAGAGCAAAAGAATATATAAACAAGCAATTCCGCCGTGATTTCAATCAAGAGCCATTAAAATTTTTAACCACAATCTTTGATTCTCGAAACTAGCCAAAAGCCCTTACAGGTTCGCAAGAGACAAAAAAAAATAGGGATTTAATGAAATAAAAAGTGTTTGCAACTTTTATGAGAACAATAATATGATAAGCAGAGAAACTTCTAACTTATGTGTATTGCAGTGGCCTTTATTCAGGGAGAAAGTCTCTAAACTAAGGACAAATTAGCTTTTAAGCATTTATAGAGATATCTTGCTGGAAAATGAACCTGAATTGGCAAGTGTAAATGTCTTGTTAGACTTTCAGCGCTTCTACGGCAACTTGTGAAGGCAGTTTTTCTTGTATGAACTGGAAAAAAATATTTTGCGAACTTTATTAAATGACAAAACCTTAGAAAATATTATGTCTATAAAGCTTGATGGCCAGTTAATTCAAGACTTTTTGCCTGAAAAACATGTCGAAAACTGGATTGACGCAGCGGTTGGTATTAGACATTTGGGAGGCCATAAATTAAAAAACTCTAGCAATTTTTAAATTCATTAATATAAATATAAAAGTTAATATATGAATATTAATAAGACGTCGTTTTGCGATTTATTCCTTTAGTTTCTTATATTTTAATTTCTTCACGTTTATAAATAAATTTTATGAGTAAACAAATTTAACAAACTAAATTGAAAAAAAAAAGTTTTGTATTGTTGAATAACAGTTTGCAATCATTGTATATTAAAAATCAATAATTTTCACGCACTTTGCAAATGCATGAAAAATTATTTTAAAAAATTGACAATTGATTAAGTTCAATAACCATCTTTCATATATTCAAAAGCTTATTAACTAGAATAAAAGTTTATTTAAATATAAAACTCCCTTATTTGACACGTATCACTTAAATAAGACGTTCGTCAATAATTTAAGATACGAGCGTCAATGTTCGTGAAAAAAAAAAAACGAATTGTCGCGCCCTGCTGTTATTTTAAAATTTTGTGTCTGCACTGCACAATGTAAATTTTGTGTCCCCGCGCTATACTGGTTTTGCAGTATAATAATAAAATGTTTAGATTATTTACAAAATATTTTCCTAATCATAATTATTAATTTATAAATAATAAATAATAAGTTTTCAAAACAATTTCTTAATTCTTTATCTTTTTTATAGTGGTAAAATACTCTGTCCTGTTGAAAATGTGGAATGTATTTACTTTTATGACAAGTTTGCTAACAAAGAGATTGAGATACTAGAGTTTGAATGTCCATTTAATAAAAATTGTAATTGGTCTGGCAAGTTAATCAAATTAAAAGAAGTAGGCAAGTTTTTAATCAAATATAAAAAAAAGTATTTAAAAAAATAAACACTAAAACAACTAGTATCATATATATCATATTTAAAACAAGTTTTTTTAATTTTAGTAAATATATAGAGTTTAGACAGTCATGCTAAGGTAAAGTTTTGAGTTTAACTTGAAAAAATGTTTTTAATTAATATAATAAGCAATTTTCAAAACGTGTTTGATAGATAATCATTGTTTGAATATTTTTGTTGTGTCGTTAATAAAGCACTACTAATAGAAAAGTAACGATATATATTATTTTATATGTAACTCATCTTTATATATCTTCTACATATAATCGCCACGTATATATATGTAAACACTGTTACTGTTTGTCCGCAAATAACTAGGTTTTACTTAGTTATTTGCGGAAATAAATAAAACAGGATGAATAAGGGATAAATGAACCAGGTTTAGGTTCGAAATCTAGTCTTTGGAGATACTATAACGGTGTTCCACTTTTAAAACTCATAGTGAGAGGAGATCTCAACTGCCTCTCCATCATCTTGGAAGGACTCCTTGATCTTCCTGCTCGAGGTATTGTTCTGTAACTTAAAAACATTCTGCTTAAATATCCACATAATAAACCTTTATCCAGTGAATAAGCTTTTAAACCCATCTTGGCTGTCTCTACCATTCTTTCAGCTGCTTCATTAGATTGAGGATGGTAAAAGTGGGGTTTTATAAGGCAAGCAACCTATTTTCTTTAGCCACTGGTGTAAGGTGGTATCATGAAATTCTGAAGCATTATCGGATATTAAAACCTCTGGAACTCCATTTCTTAAAAAAATACTTTGTAGGTCTGCCTTCACTGTGGCAGCTTTATGGTTATTTACCTTAATAATTTCAGGTCATCCAAGAAAGGATTCTACTAAAATTAAAAACAGTCCGACACCCTGTACATTGGCATAATTCATATGCACTCTACACCAAGGTTTATTTTCATTTGGTCATGTCCCAGTGGGAAATCGGCTAGCGAATAGCTAGCTATAATCGTTACGATAAAGACAGCGATTTGGCCACGAGGATCGCTAGCTTTTAAAAGTTAGCGAATAGCTATCGATATTTTTAAAGATAAAGATAGCGATTTTGCTACGAGGACAGCTAGCTTAATAAGCTGAAGATCCACTGGCTATTGTACCAAGCGTCATATCGTAATAAAATCGTTGTCTAAAAAATTTTTATATGTAGCTATCAACCAGCTATAGATTTGTAGATATTTTGTAGCTAGCTACAAAGCTACGATATGTAGCTAGCGACACATTGCTACAAAATTGCAATGTTTAAAGTTCAATTATTTTCATAATTATAATAGACTCAACAATAAAAATTGAATTTTTCAAGATGTTAAAGACATTTGCAAAAAAATTAAAATAAGAAAAAAAAATCGCTTGAAAATCGCTATAGAGCTAGCTAGTCTCAAGCTAGTCGCTAGCTCATTTCCCACCGGGGTATGTAGCGTCCTCTCCTTTACCTTATCTCTGCACATTTTTCACAGTTTTTCGCATATTCTTCAACATCTTGACAGTAGCCAGGCCACTAAGCTTATAACATTAATCTACATCGAGTTTGCATTGTGCCACAATTGGGCCGATTTGATGAATATCTTTTTTACTTGTTCTGAGGTACAATTAGATCACTATTACATACAATTCCCTTTTCAATAGTCAATTTATTCCTAATAGATTTATAAGGTCTTTCTGTCACAGAGCATCTGTTCCAATTATTTTTGCTAATTCTGGCTTTGATATCCATCAAAACTCTATCATTTTCTGTTTCTTTTATTATTTGCTCAAGATTCAAGATATTTAGCCTAACTAAGTGTTTAAAGGTTTCTTGGTCTTTCTCTTTATCTTGTGGTAGAAAAGACAATCTCGTTAATGCATAAACCTCTTCAAGATATGTCATTTTATTTACATTTTTGCTTGTGGGTTTATAAAAAATCAAATATTGTATACACTTTCAAAACTTTTTATACATAAAAAAAAAAATTTCAATACAATTCAAAACTCTTTTACTAACACTAATACATGACATTGATAGTACAATTACGGAGCCTTCAAAATGATTTGACTTTAAATAAAAAGAAGATTTTTCGAAAAAGAATTAATTTAAATTTAGTTTAAAACTTGAGAAAAGCTTTGAGATATAATTACATTTGAGAAACATAAAGTGGTTTTCATAAAGTAAGTTCAGTATTTTGATTTATACTCCTCCAGCTAATTGCCTAGCGGAGTACCTCATACCATCGCGCTCATGATCCGATGGCATTTAAATTTAGAAAATAAGATGGAATTTAATGCTTTTTTAACTTCATATATGGGCCTCATAAATGGGCCCTAAAGAGGCCTCATATGGCCTAGCCTTTGAATACAAAATTTTAACTTTTTTAATTACATATATGAGCCCAAAATGAGCCCCATGTGGGTTAGCCTTTAAATACAGAATTTTTTATTCAAGGGCTAGCCCACATGGGGACCATATATAAAGCCCATATAGGGTCCACTTGGGCAAACCCATATGGGCCCAGAGTAGAGAGTCGCCTAAACTACCCAGCTAATATGTCCCAATAGGACATGTTTGCTTGGTAGCTGAGGCAACTCTCTACTCTGTAGCATTTCTAGAGCTTTAAGTTTTACGGCTTCACAATACTTATGCATATATTATGTAGTATAATTATAGTACATGATTAATTATGTATATATTATATATTTTTCAGTTTTTGTGCTATTTTAAATACAAATTTGCTTGTGCTATTTTAAATACAAACCATAAAAGTTTAACCAAAAAAGACATTTGTTAGAAGTTTTTAAAACAATTTCTTACATTATACATGTATTATACTCAATGGTTCCATATACCACCCACAAACTCAAAGTTAAAGATGTTTGTACCTAACATAACAGCACATGTAATATTTTACATTTGTGTAATATTAAATGACATATTGTTATTACATATATATTTGCATATCTGTATGAATATTTCTTATACTTATAAAAGTTTTATACTTTATAAATGTGCTGAGAGATTCTTTCTTGCTATCAGCTCAGGTTTAATGCCTGCCTTTAGATTTGAGTCAAATGCACAATGGGGACTACTATCACTATTATGCTCAACATTATTAATTAGATAAGTTTGAACCCCTTTAATTTGAGGAGTTTACAAATTTTATATGGTCATAATTAATAATTACTTTAGCAAAATTTGCATTAAAAATATGAATAAAATGTTTTCAATATTTTAAGCTTGTTTATTATTATAAATTTGTTTTGTGTTATATTTAATGTTAATAAATAATTACTATCTTTATAAAGATTCAGTAAAAAAAAAATTGTTTTGTATAAAAATGTTGGTCAATAAGGGACGTTACTTTGGATTAGTCTTAATGACTATTTGTGGCTGTTCCTATGCTTAGCTTCAGATATAATTTTGGATAGAAAAATATAGCATGAAAATTCAAATAAATAAAAAATAAATAAATACAAGTTTAAATTAATATTTTTGCGATAAATGTTTTTAAAATTTCATAAAAGTCATAACCCATACAAAAAAGGAAAAAAGTTTCTAAAAAAAACTAAGAAACCCATTAGTTTAAAGTTAAATTAAGACAAATATAAGAGAAAAAGTTTTCTTTTTTTTTCTTTTTTTTTTTCATAGATGACCTAGATAATCTTTGCATGAAGTACTTATTAAAATTATTTTTTTAATACTGCATACATTAGTTTATATTTTGATAACATATATATTAGTTTATATTTTAACTCCGCGTATATTATTTTAGAATAAGAAATAAAATCTTAACAAACATTAAAACAAGTGAAAGATAAACAAGAAAAAATAGAAGCATAAAATTATTGTATTTTTTAATTTAAAAGCGTGTTGAGATTTTAAAGGTAATTTTTTTACTCATATCACAATCTCAGTGTTATCGCTTGGGTTAATGTAATGTTTTTGTATATGAGGGGCAACAGCAAGTTTGGAATTGAATGTGGGTTCAAATCCTTTAAATGGTTCGTTTTTTATAAATGTTTTATTTACTTAGTAGACATCAGAGAGTATCAAAGTTTTTAAATAATTAACTTTCGCAGTAATTATGTTTGAATTAAATATACTTTGTGTATACCCTGACAGGATACATTAATGGTTAAATTATTTCCTCCTTTTCTTTAAAATCACAAATCAAGTATTTGGACATGTTAAAAAAACAAGTCTTTTTATAATCTCGATCTTTTAAAGATTTTCTTTTCATTATTTCTTGAGAGATAGAAATGCTGTAAGACTATTTGAAAACTGTTTATTAAATATCAAGGATGAATGTTGCATATTTTGTTGTTATTCTATTTTTTTTGGCCTTTCTGTTGTTGCTAGATCTTGTTGCTTGGATCTTTTAGCAAAAGTAAATTGTTTTGTTAAAAAAGTTACATTCAAGATACTTTATATTTGACAGAGGGTAAGACTTATAATTATTCAACAACTTAAGAAGTTGTGAATTTTAAACTTTTTAGTTTAATGTCATTAAATCCCGAACCAATTTTTGCTCAAATTTTTTTTAATATTAAGTTTCTGATATGTCTATAAATAAATAGCTTTATATAATTTAATTTTGTTAAACTTTCAAAATTTACTTTTACATTTATTGTACTTAGGATCATATACTGAAATTTGTACTTAAATGTAAATATAAATAAATGAATCTAAATTTAAAAAATTATGAAGTATCAGATATTTAAGTTATTTTATTTTTTCAGGAGCACTTAAATTCTTGTGATTACAAAATTTATATATGTGAAAAATGTGGCGAAGAAGTTATACAAAAAAATTTTAACGAACACAGTTTGAATTATTGTTCACATTCTTTTTTCACTTGTCTATATTGTGATGAAAATGTTTCTGTAAAAGACAAAATAGTAAGTCTAATCTGATTATTAAGTAAAAATTTGTTTTAAGGTTATAAAAGCTGTTATATAGTGTTGCAAGTGTAGAAAATTTTTTATAAAGATAGCAAACTATATTCATTTAACTATCTATAAAAATAGGTTAGTAAAAAATAGTTATGTTAGAGGTAGGTACACAATAACATATTTGTGTTTTAAAGATTTATAATTTTTAATGACTACTTTAGGCTCATCTTTGCTTGAAGTTACCTGTAACATGCTTACTGGATTGTGGTGCAACTTTTTTATATGAAGATATTATCACTCATTTAAATCAATGTAATAATTTAAAAAATATTTGCGTATATAGATTAATTGGTTGCAAATTACCTGTAAGTTACAAATTCTAAATGTTTTTTTTTTTCTCTTTTTTTTTTCTTTGTTCTTAAATGGTTTTTAAAACTTTTTAACAAGAAAGAAGTAGTGGTACTACATGAATAAAAAACAGAACAACTCGAATTTAACTTGAATTGTACTACATACTAAAATAACAGCACGCATTACCTGGTTTTCTGATAAAATATTGACTGCACTTCATAATTAAAAATAGAAATATAGGTTTTAAACTAGCCTAAAATGTTTCTATATAATAAAAGTTTAAACAGTAGTATAAGTAATTATACTAATAAACATAATTTGTTTAAATACAATTTTTCTGTGTAATATCTATATATTTTTAAATAAAACAGTTTTATTTGAGATTGTACTTGAAAATATTTTTCTCAAAAATTCAACTTGCACTGAAATACAAATATGTGTAATGTAAGCTTAAACATTAATCTGATAAATAAAGGCTTAAACACTATTTTTTGTAATTAAAGCTGAAATACAAGTAACACTTTTTAACACACAATTAAGATTTGGCAAAACCATGATGGTATGAGATAACAAGTTATTTAGAATTTAGAATATTTAGTAATTAGAAAAAACAATTTACTGCCAATCTTGAACTTTTTTTGTTTTGTTTTTTATTCATAGAAATGTATTTAAATAGTTCAAAGCTGTTATTTGGCAATGAGTGCAAGCTCATAACAAAGAATTAAAGAAATAGATTGCAAAATTAAAGACAAATAGAAAATAAAACTTTTAACATTAACTAGCTTGACAACTAACAAACAGAAAAACATAAATGATAATATTCAGAGAAAATTAAAATTGATTTAAAGAAAATCTTTAAAAGTCAATTTTTTCAAATTAATAACTTGATTTTTTAGTTTAATAATAAAGCAACTATAATAACAAACAGTTCATATTAATGAATTCAATAATAACCAAAACCATTGTTTTTAAATGTACAACCTACAGCTAAATCAATATCAGCTTTAGACATATTATTTAGATTGTTGGAAATTACTAAATTAAGTGTATTATTTAGAAAATTCGACTTGATGAAAATTGAGGAGCTGTTGTTTATGTAGTAAACTGTACTCTATCCTGGCATTATCAATTAGCTGATGTCTACACTAACTTAAATTGTTTTACTAGTTCAAAATTTATTTATAATAAAGGAAATTATATTCAATTTAACAATTATCTGTCCAAACAGAGGTGGCAAAATCTATTTAAAAACTTAGACGCCAACGAAAGCTACCAAATTTTCTGCAATATCTTCAACAAAGGTTGCAAAAAATTTATTCCATTCATCCATTTAAAAAAAAATAAACAACGACCAATCTGGGTAACAAAAGAACTTTTATTACTAATTAAATGAAAGTGGAAAATTATCCCGTTAGCTAATAATTACAAGTTGAATTGAAATCTTGTAAGAAAAGAGCTGCAATTCGTTCGTTTGAAGAAAACCTATCTAAAGACAAGAACAATCCAAAAAGACTCTTTGCTTACATTAATAGCAAACGTACTGTCAATAATCATATCAACACATTGTGTTTTCCATCTGGTGAACTCTGTACAGATAGATTTTTGATTGCCAAGACATTGAACAAGGTATTCCAATCTGTCTTTACTATTGAGCCTCATAATCAAAATCTACCTCTGTTTGCTAAACGTCCATCTACCTCTCTTAAACTTTTCATTTGATTCTGAATCTGTTCAAAAACACCTTGAGGTACTTGACAAATATAAATCTGCTGGAGAAGATCAAATAAGTCCTTACGTTCTTAAAGTGCCAGCACAACAGCAGCTCCGCTTGCCATGATTTTTTAATTGTGAATGAATACGATCGCTCTCCAGAATTTTTGAAAATAGGGATAGTAGATGCTGCTTTCCAGCAGGCTGGAAAACAAGACTCTGATAAGCAATTGTCAATTGTTAAATCGTTTTAAAAGGATAGACGACAGCTCCGGAGAACACTTCTGCAAGACTATAACGGGTATGTTATTCGGGCTGCAAGCTGTAGAAGAGTCTAAGCTGGAAATCACTTAAGATACAGAAGCTGGAGTGAAACGGATATCGAGCAATGGATCAACCTGTTTGACGGCTATACCAGGAAGAACGCAACTAGTGGAATCAAGAGATGATATTGATGAAAAGTTCTTGGCAAACAATTCAGCTTTGTCTTTAGGTGAGTTAGGTGAGGTGACAAAACCTGAACCATACAAAAGAGGTGGAATTACAGACTTTCCCTTATTATTAATGCTATTAAAAATTCTCCAGAAGTCACTAGAGCCTAATTTATGTGATGAAATCCGAGATTTCATGGTCTAAGAATAGCTGGCTTTGGCGTTAGGCAAAACCTTTTTATAATGGTTTCTAGCAGTGATAAACAGACGTCTGTTTTCTCGAGTATTGTTTTGATAGATATGGAAGTAATGGTTTTCCCAATTGTTTTGCTGATAGATATGGAAGTAATGGTTTTCACTCTTTTCCATGGTTTCCTCACAATGTGATGAAAACGATGGAGAAGAGTGAGGTTTGACCTGGGATCATCAAGAGGGAATAAAGGATTCCATGCCAGCCTGAATCCACGAAGTTATGTAAGAAGCACATTTGTCAACAGGAAGATGAAAGATTTCTACCCTGGCATATTGACCCAACTGGCATATTGACCAAATATATATTCCTCCTATCTATGGTCATCGCAAATGCTTTCATTGCGAAATTAATAGCAACTGCCTCGTTCAACTTTTTTAACAATCGGGTTGCAAATACTTGGAATGCTCAGCCAGATAATGTTGTCAATGCCTCTACTATCGACAGTTTCAAAAAAAACTAGACCAGCAACTCACATAGTTACCACAGTGCATCATTTTCCGTGGCTGTATTATTGCAGCTATACGAGCTAGCTTGCTAGCTAATGATGAACTTACGGTTCATATCTGTACTGTGAAACTGTAGTTGTAATTGTAATTAATATAAAAAATACAGTTTAATACTAAATTTATGAGGTTGACAGTTTGAAACAAAGTACTTTTTTTTTTGAAGTTACCATCAGCATTTGATGAGGCTATAATGCTGTGGTAAAATTCCCTGAACAAGAGTGTAAGCACCATCATTGACTTTCCATAGACCATTTTGCTTGATTGAGTTATTTTTCAAATTATTTGGCTCAAACTTAGTAAAAGGATGTCTATACAGTCTTGGTCAGAAAGCTGTATGATTGTATGCAATTATATGACCATGCAATAAGAGTCTGTTTTGTTGACTTGATCACTGCTGGTAATTAGCTTTTAAAATTTAAACATTTTAAAGATGTGTCAAAAATGCTTATCTAGTCAACAACAACAACAAAAAAACTTAAAAATAATCTTTATTTAAAAACAGAATAGAAGTCTTAACAAAAGAGAAAATAAAAAGAAACTATAAATAAACACAAAAAATAACAAAAAAACTCAACTAAAATATAATCAAAAAACTAAAATGCTTAGATTATTTAAATCAAGTTTTTAAATATGTTTAGAATAATAAACTTTGAATTCTTTAAATATTCATTAAAAGTGGCCTTTTTTTTTTTAATGCTGTTGTTTAAAAATATTGATTGAAATTTTTTTTTGAAGATTACCATTTATCATAAAAAAAAATCTGGGTCACTTTTCTGACCCAGACTGGCTATAAATACATTCAAGTAACAAATGATCAGTGCCAATAACGACTTGTCACTAAACTTGCTCACCTTGCTGCTTATTGTTGAAATCACACTTGAAAAAGAGTAACCATTTTGAATATATATATAACAAGGCTACCACAAACTGTCATGAAAGTAAACTATATAATTGGCAATCACTTTAAAAGATGTAGGATTATATCGAGTCTCTGTAACCACTACAAAAAGAGGATGGCTAAAAGAAGCTAATCTTGAATTTGCATCATTTGTTATCTGAAGAAGTTGCATTTAAATAAAAATAATTATTCTACTTTGACAATATAAGTTTTAATAAGTCAATTTATGGAGAGTTATACTGTAAGTTTATAGAGAATTTATAGAAAATTAGCAAATTTAACAAGTTAATACAGGGGTGGGACCGCAAAATGTGAACGTTTTTGTTTTATTATAACTATTTTCTCGTTAGATGTAGTTGTACTCTCTCACTCATCAGAAAGTATCTAAAGAGTTGTTAAATATGAACTATTTTAAATAAGAATGTCCAACCATTGGACATTCTTATTTAAAATAGTTCATATTTAACAGAAAATTAATTATTACAATCAGAAAAGTGTTCACATTTTGCGGTCCCACCCCTGTAATAGAAGAATTTTTTATGTTGCCAAATTTTTTGAAATTAATAATACTTTGACAGTATAAATAAGTTTTAATAAGACAATACAAGGAAACAATTATTTTAGAAGTTAATAATAGAAGGAAAAAAAAAATCTACAAAAACTTTTTTTGTAGATTAAATAAATCGTTATAATTATAATTAGATATAAATAGTGCACAATAGGATTGCATGTAAATGTGTTGCTTTCTTTTCTTTGTTCAATTCAGCAAATAGTTTTGCAAGGATATACCAGAAATCCTCTTTGCCAAAGTTGATACTTCATTTGAGTCTCCCTTGAGAACCTTACACATCATTTGGTAGACTTCTATCTTTGCATTCTTTATTTAAAATATGATTAGCTAAGGGCTTGTTTTGGTTTGTCTCTGCTCTCACATAAACAGCTTCAAAATTTCTATCATTTTTAAATACTTTGATATTCAATACTTTTAATATTTTTGGTATCAAGAGCCACTTGTCTTTAGATATTTTTTTTTTGAATTCTATAAATACTAGCTGAATGTGAGTATAAATGTAAGTTAATGCTGTGCTAGTTTCTGCTGATTGGGTGGCAGGGGTTGTGCTTGTATTTATTTTTCTAATCTATAGCTCAACTTGACACCATTTTTGATCACTTTTAATATTGTTCAAACATTTTTTTTAATATCTTTTTTTATTGT